CGAAACCACCTAGGGTCCGAATACAACCGATCCATTCAATAGTTCCGAATAACCACTTGCACAAGACTTTACTTTCAATAGGGAACACGTCTCAGCAACCAATTCAATTGTAACACAAGTATTATCTTATAAAGTTACTCAAGTGATCAAAAACCAATTATCACCTCAATAAAGTTTTTCCCTGAGTTAGATGCTTTAAGTTAAGGTTTGAGTAAGCTATTGAGACAATAATTTCTACACAAGTATGGGCATCATCAAAGCACCATTGTAAAGAAATATATTCACAAATAGGGGTGTTCACGAGTCGGCTCGGCTTGGCTCAGGTTTACCCTTAGCTTGTCAGCTGAACCAACAGTTTCAGGTTACAGAATTAGTCACCTATCATCGACCGAACTAGGGTTCGAAATCGACTGAATTAAAGAATTTGTTTTGATAATCGATTTGGTCGATTTCGAAAATCCAATGAGAGTGGACAAAATCTTGTGAAAAATGGAAATAAATTTTCAAAAAATAAAAAAACTTTAACACTTATATAAACATATACATATATTTCTTACAATTAGAATGATAGTAGAGGAGAGGCAATGGGTTAAAGTCAAAGAGAGAGGGGAGACTCATCATGCCTTTACCATTGCATCGCCATCGTTGATCATCGATGCAGCCGTCGTTGCTCATCGCAACAGCAACCACCACCACTGCCCATGCTCATTGTTACCACCATCGTTGTCACCGTGCTCGTCTACCACTGCTGCCATATCATCGATAGAAAGAGGGGAGCGAAAAGATGTAGAAGTAGAAATGAGGGAGAGTAAGAGATGGAATTATTTCTGAAAGTAGAGAGATGAGGGGAGGGAGATGAAATGGTAGGTAGATGAGAGAGAAGATGACAGCTCTGAGAAAAGAGAGACAGAGAGAGAGAAGAAGAGATGAGATAGTGAGTAGGTAAGTAGGTAGCTAGGTAGATGAGAAATGAGAGGAGATGAATTGTTTGAGAGAGAGAGAGAGAGGGAGCATGAGAATTTAGGCAAAAGGGAGACAGAGAGTTAATTGAAATGTCAAATCTCTTATTGGCAAGAGGTAAGTTCTCTCTTTGGGAAGATATTAATAAGCTCTTGGGAAGATAAAAGACTAAACAATGTGTATAATTTCCTATGCAAAAAGTTAATTTTCCCTGGACAAGTATCTAATGTAACAATGAAAGTGTGTATGTATATATAATTCGGTCGGTCGGTTTCGACGGATCCGTTTATGTAAAGTTCGATCTCTAACCGAAAATCCAAAAAAATGTAAAATTGACACCCGTGGCCGACCATGCTGTTGGGCTAAACTGTCCATATCATCATCGGATCGGACGAGTTGGACCGGTTTCACAGGTTGTTTGGACTTTTGAACACCCCTATTCACAAACATATGTCAATGTCATACTAAGGTTCAAATAGGTGATAAAAGCACATTCAAGAAATAAAGAACATGAATTATTAACAAAAAATTTATTTTCAGATTCAGTGTACTTTAAAGATCACAATCTAAGAGGCATTTTTAGATTTTTTCCGAACTCGGCCTTTCTAGGGTTTGTATAGAATTTTATCGAGTTTCTAGATAATTTTTTAGAAGTGGGATAGTTTTCCTAGATTTTTAATTATTTAAGAAATACTCCAGCGTTGTCCAGATTCGTCGATTGTTACGAAAATCGGATTCTCTCAAACCACTCACTCTTTTTCAATAAAACCATTTTTGCTTGAAAGCTAACAAGGAAGGTTTTGATATAAAAATGAGGTCAAGGGAATTTTCAACATTTTTCTAGATTTTTTGAAAATGTGCTGAAAATACCAGTCTTTTATGCATAACACTTGAATTAAGAAGAGTAATAGAAAAAGAGGGCAATCATGAGAAATTTTTCACTTCTCTTATGATGAAAATATGCTAAATAATATATAAATAACTCAGATTTTTAGATTGAAGGTAGGCCTTTGGAAAAAATGTAAGAAGTGGATAGAAAATTATAGTTTTGTTTCATTTTAAGAGAGTATACATGCAAGGTGGAAATCAAAGCGTAACTCTTCGTATTTAAACACATGAACACCATATATACACTTCTGAAATTAATACTTGAAGCCTCTAATATCATGTATTTGAATGAGAAAATAAAAGAGAGGGTTGTGTTGTGACTTACTTGTTTACTTAGAAGGGTTGTTTGTGCAAGATTGCTCACTTTCTTCCTCCTCTCAAAGCTCACACTTTCTCTACTCTTTCTCCCCCTCCAGCTGAAATTATGTGTGTATGTGTTTGATGTGCAAAAGTGTTGAGGGAGGTGGTGTATTTATAGGAAAAAAAAAAAGTAGTGAAAGGTCCAAAATGTCCCTTGGTTAGAATTGAATGGAATGAGCTTGTATTTAGTTGAATTGTAATGGAATGAGGGTTGATTAGAAGGGTTAACTATGATTTAGTTAGACTTAAATCTAGCTTAGTTGGTTTTGAACTAGGTTGTACATTGGTACAAGACAAACTTTCTTAGTTTAGGGGTCCTTGGTCAAATTCTTTCATGAATTCATGCTTGATGCTCTTATAGTACATTACATATATACAATCAAGGGGTGGCTGGCCATGTGGGAGGGATTTTTATTTTTTTATTTTGTGTACAAATTCACATATATAATGCAGATATTTTGTATATAAAAAGATTTGATAAGACAACGTACAACTATGTATATATATATATATATAAGTACTTGAATTGGGGTTAAAGTGAAATTCTAATAAAGTGTGAGGACCTGGGCTCAATTTATGAATGAGAATACCTATTTTAACTGTAGAATTAATTAAAATAGTGATAGGAAAAAATATTTCGGTTTGTGTTACTTCGTTTTGAATTAAAAGGTGAATAATCGAATGAAAGCGATGAAAATCAGAAACTAGGGTTTAGAGTGATTAATCTAGAATTAGGGAGTTAAATAATTAATATTAGAGTGTTAGAAATGATTACTAAGTTACGGGGATCGATTAGGGTTTATACAGATTCGCAAGCGATGTGTTTTCGATTTTAGGGTTAAACTTGTGATAAAGTGAAAATTTAGGGGTCTTAATTGTAATAATCTCAAGGTTAGGGTTTCAAAAGAAATTACAAAAATTGGGGTCTCTACACCACCCATGCTTACTTCACACTATAAACTAAATATAAGAGATAATAGGTCATCCCAAACCTAACCTAGCTTGTTATCAGGCTAATCTGGCTATCCCTAAAACAACTAATAATTTTGAAAATCACTCTTAGATTTCATAAGGCCTTCTTCTAAATTGTGAGTTATTTGCCATTTTGGGGGTGCCATGGCCCCTTGGTCTCCATTCCATATGGATCTAGGATTATCACTATGGGGGTGCAAAAATATGTTTGGGGGTACAAATCCTTATAATTTTTAATTATTTTAAATTTTTTAGTATAATATATGATATTTTTTAACCAAATGATCACATGCATCTATGCCATATTGAACCAAATGTACAAACAGAATGGAAATGCATTGCATCCAATCACCAAAGTCCAATACTATTGAGGACAAATAATCATAAATGATAGGCAAACAAGCACTGCATCTTGATTAAAATAGCTCAGCCATATAGCAGAATTGTGACGACCCTACTCTGTGTTATGTTAATTAATCTTAATTATGCTTATAATTATGAGCTTGATATGATTTTGAGTGCTAATTATATGATTATATGATTATATGTGTTTTTTAATTTATATCTATTCACCGTAGGAAAATTTGTTTGACTTCCTGCTATAAAAATTAAATTGAAGGCCGTAGAGGCGACAAAAACCAAAAATGGTTGTATTATTGTAACTAGCATAATTTTTAGACCCTATGGTGAAATTAATTGAAAACTGATTTGGATCAAAATAATTAGATTAAATTGATTAAGTTAAGTGCTATTGATTAACACCAAGCAAATATGATTAGTCAAACTAATTACCACTATATATATATATATATAGTACAAGTGCCTCGACTCATAATTTTGAGCTCTTAACCTTGCAAAATCTGAGAAAGGCCTATATAGGGAGAGAAAGTGTGATTCTAAGGGAGAAGAGGCTCAAATTTGAGGACTTGAGCTCAAAGCTTGGAGAATTGAAGAACTAGGCTCAAGAACTAACTAGATTTGGAAGAGTTAAAGACTCTAGGTGAGTAATTGAACTCAAATTTATGAGTTTAAGTTCATAACTATGTGAATTCAAGAAGTGTATGTTGATAAATATGAGAATTAAGCTAAATGTGTTGAATTTAAGATCAACTTGGGCATGCATACATGAATTTATTGTGATTTCTCATGTTTGAGCATAAATCATAAAGATCATGTTGAATTGAGAGTTGTTTGACATGCATGCATGAATTGTCATGTTTTAAAGCCCAATTTTTAGTCTTAAAGCTTGTATATGCAAGATATGAAACATGGATTTTGCATACATGGTTTCAACCTCATGGTTTAAGCTTGATTTCGGAAATTTAATCCATAATTTGAGTAATTGGTCTCAAATTATTTATGTTCCCATGTCATATGATGGTTTTCGATAATTTTGGACCAAAAATATGAGTTTTGAACATTTGAAGATGTGTCTTAAGCTTCAAACAAAGTTCTGGAAAACCCAGAATTCGACCTGTTCGCTCGAGCGTGGAAATCGAGCTCCCAGAAGTTTTACAAAATCTTATAGATCGCTCAAGCGACCAAAGTGGCGCTCGAGTGAGGACCCTTTTTACTTAGTCTTCCGCTCGAGCGACTGTCGAGCGGGAAATTCACACAATCAGTACTTTTGCAGACCACTCGAGCGACGGAAGTTACGCTCGAGCGACCACCTTTAGTTTTGAATCCTCGCCTGAGTGAAGGAAGCTACGTTCGAGCGGAGGGCCCTGTTTCAGAAATTTTGAAAAGACGTTTTATGTTTCGTTTTCCGTTCTTTTTCACTTCTAAGCACTCTTAGGCATGCATTGAGTATACTAAATGAATTAAAGAGCATGGAAGAAACCTAAGAACATTAAGCAAATTAAAGAACATAATGAATTGTATTATGACCTAATGTGTTATGAATTATGTGGGGTCAAGCGCAAGGACGAATTAAGCACCGGAACACTGTGAGTAATATCTTAGTAAAGATATTTTTATGTATGCATTTTTTTCTAAATGTTACCTACGTGGTAAATTTCTGACTTTATGAATTTGTACTATGAATGAGTATTCACTCACTTGATTCATAATAAAGTATGTGAAGTAATTGATATATGAGCATGAAATGGGCCTAAGGCTGTTTAGCATGTTTGACGAGGACACAGATTGGGCCTAAGGCCGTTTGCTATATTTGATGAGGACACAAATTAGGCCCAAGGCTGTTTGGAATGCTTAACAAGATAGACTAAAGGTCATCTTGTATACAAATTGGACCAAAGGTCGTTTCGATTAAAGAATTGATTGGACCAAAGTTCGTTTTGAATATGAGTATGGATGTGATCATGATCATATGCGCATAATTATGAATATAAGAATGGGAGACCCAAGGTTGTTTAGTAATATGATGGAGGACCGGTGGTCCTTGGTACATAGATCCATTAGACCTAAAGTTGGTCTATGAATGAGTATTAGACCCGAGGTCGTTTTGTATAGACGGACCCAAGGTTGTTTTGTTTTATATATGAGTTGGACCTAAGGTCGTTTTGCATATGGATGTGATGTATTGGACCCGAAGTCGTTTTATTTTGTTATGATTTATAAATCTGATGTGAATAAGAATAGTGGTTTAAATGTTTACATTATAAGTATGACTCGTTTATGAACGAAACTCATTCATTAACCTCTTTACTTTGGTATTATTCACTGGGCATTAACTCACTCTTTATTTATATGCATATAGGTGAGCAGCGGGACGTCCAATCCCAGCCCCAGTAAGCGTTGAGAAACCAAGTTTTGTGAGGTCAACCAAGGTCGCCTCATGCAGAGGCCTTACTTTTGTTTTACTTTTGTTTTTGTTCTTTTATGGTCAGGTATGACCAACGTTGTGTATAACCTTGGAACTTGGTGCGGAAATTGTAAAATGATCCTGGATATACGTAGTACATACATAACATAAATATTGCTTGGTGTGAGTTATTTCATGTATATGAGAAAGTTTTTGATTAAACCATGTATGCACAGCTCATTGGACAATTCTTGTATGTGATGCTTCTGCAGTTTAGCCCCCTATTTTTAAATGTGGTTTGATTTCTAGCTGAGGCCGCAAGTAATCTCATGATTATTGGCTGGCTATGACTCTAATCCATAGGGGCGGGTTCGGGTCATGACAAAAACATTGGTGTCAGGTAGTGCCTAAATTTGCTAGAGTATTTCAGTAGCAGAATTCTTACAATGCCTCTCAATCTTCTAATTCTGCTTTGAATAGTATTTGTAATTGTGACAAAACATCGTTATATTCATTATTTTCTTGTTAAGCTTATGTTCATTGTCAAATGGTCAGTAATTCTTTTAACCCCACATGCATTATGTATGATGACTCTACTCACGAGACATTCTTTCACAGCTATTAAAGTTCTGCTCATAAAAACTGTTGAGGTGCAACTAATCAGCATGAATATTAGCAAAGCAGAGGGTTATACTGGTGACAATATACCCATTTTCACCACCAAAATGTTGCTTACAAACAACAAGTTTACCGTTGCATATTTACTTTATTCTTGCAGTGAAATTAGTCCAAACAACTGGTTTGTTTCTTCTTCTTCTTCTTCTTCTTCTTCTTCTTCTTCTTCTTCTTCTTCTTCTTCTTCTTCTTCTTCTTCTTCTTCTTCTTCTTCTTCTTCTTCTTCTTCTTCTTCTTGTTGTTGTTCTTCTTCTTCTTCTTCTTCTTCTTCTTCTTCTTCTTCTTCTTCTTCTTCTTCTTCTTCTTCTTCTTCTTCTTCTTCTTCTTCTGTAAACCATACAAATCACCAAAATACATTAAAAGGTTAGAAATATTTTTTTTCCTGTTTACCTTTGTATTTTTTTTTTATTATTTTGGATTTTAGTAAGCTTAGGTACCAAGAAAAGTATCCATAATTTTACCCCCCAAAAAATGTGTGATTCAGATTCGACTCTTGCATAGTTTTTAATGGTAGATGTAAGAATCTACAAGACAGACCTGTAGTTTCTGTGTAGACTTGAAGTACGTATTTATGCCAACTTGAGCAAGATAATGGAGCTAAAACATAATCTTTCGAGGATACTGGATTGCTGACGATGTATGTTCTCACTACACGTAATGATTTTGGACAATTAAAGGGGTAAGCCTTGTCTTGAGCACCGGCCTGTTTTTGTTCTTCCTCATACACCACATCAACTCCAAACTCTTTTAACTCAAACACTGTCCTCATAGTTACTGAAGCATTCACTTCATCGCCACCTTCTAGTTGATTCCCAATGCTCCAATGGCTTAACCATATCATATCTTCATTAGTTTCAGGAACGCCAATACATATTGGGTTGTATTTCAAGTTTAGAGACTTGCTTCTGGTACTAATTTCAATACGTAAAAATGGTTGATGATCATTCCCATGGCTTGCCCTATTGTCCTCCTCATCGTAAAAAATTGCATATACTAAACACACATTCAGGCCTCGAATTGTTAAATTGTGCAGTGATGGCAAAATAAAAGATATTGAGGATCCTGTGCTTTTGTTGCTATACCAGCCTGGAACCTCTCTCCCTGGAAAAAATGTGTTGAATACAACACCGAACTCATACAAACCCTGCATTATGAACTCATAATTTTTACAATCCATTGCATTATATTATGTGTCATGTTGCTACAAGCCCTTGATCATTTAAAAACAACTGTTGATGATAAATCAAAAGTTACCTCAAATCGTTTGATAAATTAGAGTTCATTGCAAATTATGCATGGCACACACATCAAATCTATTCATACTTGTTAAACAAAATATGTATTGTGTATAATTGTTTTCATGAAAATATCATGTGCATATCCATTGTATTTTATATTTGAACTTTTAATTATGTCTAGTTAGTCTAACAAACTTGACTAGAATGATTTATTGTTCTTTTTTGTACCTTGCAAGCTAATTGGTTTTCTGTTATCTGTATTCTTGTCATTGGTATCACCTTTTCAAACACCTAGCTAATGAAGGTGTCATATATACATGAACTGAACAAGATACACTAGCAAACCCCTTAATCACTCCTTCTATTCTTTCAGTGAGCGATTGTTCATTGAAGCCATGCACATATCAAATATTATAGGCTTTCCGTGGAGTACCAATCCCATTTCAAGACGAGGTCAATTGTGACTGGACCTACCCATGGGCTGGAGAATGAACAAGAGTTTGTAAGGTGGAGTTACGCATCCTTGGTACTAAGAATTGTCAATCGTCAAACTATTATCTTGTAATTCTTTCTGGAGTGGTGGATCTGCTAATTGTCATTGTGCCTATGGTTTTTTCCTAAGGTTTCCACATAAATTGGTGTGTTCTTGTGGTGAATGTTTTGCTTTCTCTTCTTGCTTGGCTCATTTTTTTCCTTCTTTTCTTCTAATTGGTTAGTATATTTGCATTAAGTATAGCCTATGTGCCCTCTCTAGGCTAGTTGAAGCCTCTTCCAGAGTGTTTTACAGCCAATATCATTGTATTGAAGAAAGCAACAATTTTTGTCATATCAGAGAAGAGCTATCTTTAAACCTATGAGCTAGACATGTGTCTATAAAGAAATCAAAGAATATTACACTTAAAGATGTTAAAGGGGATACAATTGAGTTTGAAGATGAAGAGTTTGTGAGGATGACCTTGCCTTTTTTGCTATGAAATTTAGAATTTTTCTTAAGTTCAAGAAGGGCAATGTTTTTATACAAGCCTAGGGAACTGACACTTAAAATCCTACCAGCCTTGGTGTTGGGGGTGTTTTTATTTCCTTTGTTTTCTTGTTTGTTTGGTTGGTTTCTCTCCATCCTTGGTGTAATGCTAGTAGATGATTGGCTTGCTTTCTGATCCTGACCTAGTTGGTATCGTCTAGTTTGTTTTAATGCTTAGGCACTCGCCTTCCTTTATTGATGTTCATCTCTGTATTCTGTACGTCTGATTTTCATCAATAAAGTTTCTTTTGCTGATAAAAAAAAAAAAAAAAATTCTACCAGAACAATAGTGACAGGAAGTCACAATCGAGGGAAGGTAAAAGTTCATAGGTAGTGTTTGGTTATGTGTGAGCTCTTCATTATATATATATATATATAGATAGAGAGAGAGAGCGAGAGAGGGAGAGGGGGAGAGAGAGAGGGAGAGGACCTGGATGGGATGCTTGGCTATATTAAGTGATGTACCACTTAGTATGCACACCTCAGTGTGGATGGGCATGGCCTCCAAATTGAATAAACCCAAGTTTTTGATCATTTCCATTTCAACCTTTCCTACAGGTTGCAACTTGAATAAGCCTTGGACCTCAACCAGCTTATCACATTTAGTATGTTCAATTTGTGAGCGAAACATATTCGATTGATATGTTATTTTCTCCAGTGATGTACAATGCCCCACAAACAAATTTTCAACACTTTGTAGGCCTAGCAGTGATTGGAGCCTTGTACATGAATTTAACCGAAGTGTCTGAAGCCTAGACAGATCTTTGATGCAATCTGGTAGAGTACAAATCGGGTTTTTGCTCAGATTCAAGTTTTGCAACAAGGGAAGGTTATTAAAATCCCTTGGAAAAGCATCGTCTGATAAATTGCAGTCCACAAGACTTAGGTTTACTAAGAACTGAGGTAAAGAAACCCATGAAATTTCTAAAGTTTTTCTCGGTTTTGGTAGCATTGGGCAGACAAATGCATGCCATGGTTTGACCTCCCCAATTGTAGAGAGTAGCTGATCTATGGCAATTCCATCTGCATAAAGCACTTTCAGAGATTCCATCTTCCCCATATCCGGTGGCAACTTGTCAAGATTTGAGCAACCAGAAATGATAAGTTTTTCAAGAGATTTGACCATAACAATGTTTCTCGGTAGCTTCCTCAGTTGTTTGCAATCTTTTGCATTCAAGAGAGCAAGTCTCTCCAGGTTGCCAATGGATTTGTGAATCTTAAAAAGACTAGTGCAATCTTTAAGAATCAACCTCTCTAGATTAGGGAGTAGCGAGAAGTCAGGAGTTTTTGCAAGGCTATGGGAATGGCTGAGATTAAGGGTTTTTAATAGGCCAAGAAACTGCAAAATAAGGACAAGGTGGTGTTAACATCATTTGTTATCAACAAACCCAAATAATTGGAAAAATAATAAAAAATTAATAAAATAAAGAAACAAAAATGTCATACCTTGGTTCCCTTCCAAACTCGTTCCAAGTGGCTATAACGCATGTCAAGCTCAACCAAGCTATCTAGAGGAAAATCTTTGGGAATGAATTTTGAAGGGAATCCACGCCAACACAGCCAACTTAATCCTTTAGGAAATTCCGCACAACTTCCGTTGAGTTGTACATAATTTAGTTGCAGTAGTCTTAATTTTTGCATTCTTGCAAATGCATCAGTTTTGAAGCCTACATCATTTGCATTTCTTTGCTCAGTGCTTGTTGGGTGTGAGGACAGGAAGCCAAAATGATGTCGGTTTAGTGCATTTTCTCGATCCAACGATGATTTGCCAAAGAAGTACTCTTTGAAGTGGTGTAGATTTGAAGTATTAGCACGAAGGATTGACTTTGAAGACTTGCTTTCCCTTGACATATGCATGTCAAGGGCAAGGCCTTCTATTGTTTCAGTGCCCTGTTGACAAAAAAAATGAAGAAAATACCACGGATAAGTACAGATCAACACAAATATGAAATAGTATTCATATACACAAGAAGCATGCTGCTTACAGTTTTTTCTCTTAATACATTGAAGGAATCTTTACGATGCCATAATCTGCTACGTTTCCCAGGCTCCCTAGGCGATTCATGGCGAATAATTTCTCTTCCCATATCTCGAAGCAATTGATGCATCATTAGCTTGTTACTTTTATCAATTGTAACGAGACATCTATCAATGAGATTTTGAATACCAATCGTTGTGTAGAAATCACATTCATCTAGTATTCTTGTCAAGCAATCTTTGTCCTTCCCAACAAAGAAGCAAGCAATATGTAAGAATAAATTTTTGTCATGATCATCTTGTAAGGAGTCGTAGCTTATTTTGAGTTTTTTCACAATTTGACTTTCAGGGATTGCATCTAATTTCTCCAATGCACTTTCCCAAACATGTACACTTTTCCCAGACAGAGATGAACCCAAAACTTGAAGAGCTAGTGGAAGTCCTCCACAGTATTGTACTACCCTTTTCGAGTGCTCAATGAAGCCTTCCATAGGATGGTTTTGTCCAAAAGCATGCCAACTGAAGAGCTCAAATGATTCAGCTTCATCAAAATTTTCAACCTTATACACCTCATGAGCTTTGTGAGCTTGCATTAATCGCTCATGTCTACTTGTTATCATGATTTTACTTCCGGGATGAAGCCAATCCTGAATTCCAATTACTGCATCTAATTGGTCCAATTGATCTACATCATCCAGAACAATAAGAACTCTTTTACATGACATGGCTTCCATTATCTTAATATTTCCTTCATCAACATTATGTATGTTTTCTTTTTTCCTCTTGGAAATTTCCGAAAGTAGTTGTCTTTGTAAACGAACTAATCCGTTTGGTTGCTTTGAAACTTCTCTGATATTTGCAAGAAAACAGCTACTTTCAAATCTTCTGTAATTTAAATTGTACACAAATTTGGCGATAGTTGTCTTCCCTATCCCGCCCATTCCACAAATTACAAGCACACCGGCATTAGTTGATTCATCTTGTAACCATGAGTTAATGCTCGTGACTCGAGAATGCATTCCAATTAGGGAAGGTGCATCGCTCAAAATCTTGCGGTTCAACTTGTCTTCAATGACTTTAACAATTTTCTGAATAAATTTTGACTCACGCCTAAAATTGCAATCACAATATGCATGTTAAGATTTGAAGTAAATTAAAACTATAATGTGCAAATTAGTAGCAAATAAATTAATGGATAAATAATACCATTAGTTGACGTTGTTTAAGTGAACAGTCATTTTAGTCTCATAATTTTAATTTGAACAATGGGTCCATATATTTTTAATTTTGTTATAATATGATTCTTTCGTTACTTACTGTTAGAATTTTGAATGGAAAAAGACCACGTGTAAAACTAGACCGTTAGAATTCGGAACATAAAAAAATCATGTGTAAAATTAGATAGACCAAAGCGAAAGTCAAAACAAATTTATTACACCTGTGGTTCCTATTATTTGTTTTGAATTCCATTTTAGTTCCTCCAGTTTTGCACTTGATTTTTTTTTTTTCTGTTTAAAATGTTAGCAATGTATGATGGAAGGATCACATTATAACAAAATTAAAGCTGCAAGGATCAAATTGTTTAAATTGAAATTATAAGGATCAAAGTGAAATTTTTTTCAAACTAGAGGGATCAATAGTATAATTTACCCCAAAATAATTCACTGTCAGGCAATTGGTCAATATAAAATTCAAAAAAAAAAAAAGAAGGGAAAATTAACAAAAATAAAATAAAAAATAGTAACACATTCCAAAAAGATTTAACCAATATGCTAACATTATAGTATATATATATATATATATATGCTATTATGTACAGTACACAACTCAAAAATTTTGTCATTTATTTATTTCTGCTTTGCTATATATAGTCTTAAAATTGGTAAATGCTAAACCTTTGCATTTAGTAATTGTTAAATAGTTTTGTAATTTAATCTCATTCGTTAAACTACCCCAAAGTTTAGACGTATGATAGTGAACTCATCACGTTTGTGCTCACGAACGAATTTAGGATTCGGCTTTTAGAGGGACAAAAAACAAGTAATTTTTAATTGAAAAAAATATTGTAAAAATTTTAATTCAATTTTTATCAGCACAAAAAGAAAATAAAAACCTATTAACCAGACATTTTTTTTCGTAAACATAATTGAGTACACAAATATATGATTGAACATATATATATATTTTTTGTCTACATTAACTTACCAAAAATAGTAACTATTATTATGTCTATTGAAGTTAATTATCTGAAAATATTGTGATTGTCACTTTTTATAATATACATATAAAATTATCTACGATAAGCTCGATGTCAAAATCTTAAGAATATCTTTTTAATAAATGTGATCAAGTAACTTGTTACAAAATTATCTTCTATCCTATTACATAGTTTAGTTTTAAAAAAATTCATAGTTATAAATGCATGTTTCTATGAATAAAATGATAATTTTTTTAATAAACAAAAATAAATTTTAGGGCAAATTATATCAGTAGTCCCTACATTTTGCTACTTGTGTCATTTTAGTCATTGCAGTTTCAATTGATTCAATTTCAACCCTTAATTTTAAATTTTGCTTCAATTTTGTTTAATTGATAACGTCGTTAAGATTTTTAATAGAAAATTTTCATTGAATTAGTTGATGTTAAGTTACTGAATTGATCAAGTTTACAATTTTACTGCTAAAGGTATAGCACAAGCCACTCATGTGCGCATTTTCCATAAAAGGTTGCTAACAATTGGACCGATTTGAGATATAAAAATTCAGAATCAAAATCGATCCAATTAAAATTATAGGAACTAAAATGACACAAGAATCAAAGTACAGAGATTACAGTGTAATTTGTCCTAAATTTTACGAACTCTTTTTTAAGATTGCAATGATGAACATAGACAATATTTTCATTTCTAGAAAATATTCTCGTTTCTAAAGAATAAACAAATATGGGTAAATTATACTTTTCACCCTTGCATTTTGTATCAAATTACACTTTGATGGCTTCTAGTAAAATGCCAATGTCTTTTTTTTTTTTGTTACTCCACCATGTAATTCTTTAACAGAAATCAATAACGCAACAAACATATAACTATGAAATGAGGACAAATGAGAAAAATAACCCATATTTCCCATCTATACATATTTTGTCCCAAAATTTACATCCAATTATGATTGTATTCGGCTGAAACAAATTGTATATTGTGAACGATTAAAGAGATAATTAGGATTTTGCAGAAATTAGAATCACAAAGTTATGTTTTCCTCATTAACATGTCTTCCGTCTATTCTTCTTAATTTCTCTTTAATTTCTCCGTTACTTATTTAAATTCAAAAATTCTATTTTCTTACCCCTTCGTCTCTATTTTCAACATATATATATATATATAATTATATAACTCTCACATGCTTATGTGTGTTGGTAGAAAATGTAAATGATTTTTCTCTCTTACTCTTATTTCGTATTCATATACTTGTCACATAACTGGATTTTGTTAAAGGCTTAGACAATGAAATAACAAAAGAGGACATTGACACTTGACAAAAGTGCAAGGGGTTGACTGTTACAATTTCATGTGTAAGGACTAAAGTGAGATTTGGTGTAAAGTGTAATTTACACAATAAATAATAATAAATACAAAATAAGGTGCATAGAACAAATTAAAGTGTGATTCAATGGGAAAAAAAAAAAAAAAACATTAATAACATGCCAACAAAAAAAAACAAGAATAATAGTAAATAAGTTTAATAGAATAATTCCTTACGGCCTTTTTACTTAGTCCTTCGCGTTTTGGGCCTCGAAGCCAAACCCGGAGCTCGGCCCAATTTTTCCCAAAAATTACCCTCTCATATATATATATATATTTTTTTTGAGTTTTATTTGAATATTCTCCTATTGGTGAATGAGTGAGGTGGTTCCACATATACATTAGGAAAGTGTAATTTCATGCACTCTTATGCTATGTTTCGTTGAGAGATTTAGATTTGGAAAGAAAAAAAAAAAACATAGATGAAACGTAAATAAAACATACTTACATTTTACATATTTTTACACATTTTACTTTTTCCTTTTTAAATTGGCCACAGCTTCTCTCCAGTCCAAATCTGGACTGGACGGTGCTGTCCGGCCCTTGGGGCTCACTACGGGTCGTATTTCGATAATCTAAACCGTTTAATATGTAGAACTCGTCGAGTACTATATGCTTGTAAAAAATCACGTTGATCGGATATCGATAGCTATATGATCAAATCAGTTTTTTATGAAAAAAAATGGACGGCGAAAAATAAACGGCTTACAAAAAACTGATTTGATCATATAGCTATTGATATCCGATCAACGTGATTTTTTACAAACATATAGTACTTGACAAGTTCTACATATTGAACGGTTTAGATTATCGAAACACAACCCGTAGTGGGCCCCCAAGGGCCGGACAGCACCGTCCAGTCCAGATTTGGACCGGAGAGAAGCTGAATCCTTTTTTTAATCGTGCCCACTCCATTTTCACCATCTCGGCCCTTATTATATTAAATACATAACATATATAACTACATATAATTTAAATCATATTGGTTTGAGCAACAATAACTTTAAATTTTTCAATTTTTTTTTGACTTGCTGAGATCTTGGTTGATGTTATTTTATTTGGAAGTTGAGTTTTTAGAGGGGGGGAGTGGAAATTACAAAAAAAAAAAAATCCAGAATTTGAGTATTGTAAAAATATAAATCCTGAGTTTTTAATTTTATCAATTTAAAATCTATTTTTTTTTATTTGTTTTCAATCTAAACTATTTATCTATTTTCATCAAGTAAAATCGATGAAAAAAATAAGCATTTGAGTTATTAAACTTGATGAAAAGTATATTTTAGACATTTTATGAATACCTACATCAAATTTAATGATTAAAATACTCTTTTTCCGTTGATTTTACTTAATAAAAATAGACAAATAATTTAAATTGAAAAGAAATCAAAATATTAGAGTTTAAATTGTCAAAATTAAAAATGTATGGTTCATTTTATTACAAGGCATAAACCTTGGAGTTTTTAATGTAATTGTTCCAAAAAAAATTAAAGCCTTGTTTGGGGTTTTATTTTTCTAGTGATTTTTTGGTTTTGATTTTTTTACGAGGTGAAAAAAATTAATATATTTGGAAATAATTTTTTAAGTTATATGAAAAATCATGAGTATCTAAGTGTGTTTAACTTTTTATTCTTCAGCTTTGTAGTGACTTTCGGATTTTGTTTTTTTGGTATTCTTTATTGTCTGAACTTTTACAGAATAGCTAGTGTGTACGATATTTTTATTTTTGTTTTTAGTGATATTTTTTCAAAGTTAAATTAAAAATTTTCACTTTCAAGTTTGTCTTGTGTAAACAAATTTTAAAAAATTGAAAAAAAGTTCACTAAAAAAAAAAAAAAAAACTAACCAAAAAAATCATAAAAAAAGCCACCCCAAAAGCATGCATCGTAGGACTACCTCACTGATTTAAATTTATATCTGTGGAGTCACGGGCATGTCCTAGAGTTTTTTATTTAGGCTATGTTTGGCTATGGCCTTTTAAACCACTTTTTGACTATATAAGAAGAAAAATAAATAAATAAGCCAAATTGTTCTATTTGGCAATTGCTAAAATTGTTAATTTTTTTCTTAAATTTTTTTATCATTTTAAGAAAATCTTTAAAATTTGTTGTAATTTTTTTTTTTAATAAAAATTCTCAAATTCTTCTAGTCTTGAAGGGTATAAAACTTAAGAAAAACAATATCAACTTACCTAAATTTTCCCAATGACAAAAAAAATTATTCTTGTAAGTATTTATCAGACGCATCAATTTATACAACTTTATTTTAAGAAAATAAAAAAATTATTAAAAAAATAATTATCAAACTCAACCTTAAAATGGATAATCTTGGTGGCGTTGATGTTGTTGGTGGCGCTGATTGAGGTGGTGGTGTTGTTGGTGGTTTTGGACCCTTTGCTGTCTGTGAGTTTTTGGGTGAAAAAGCTGTCTGTGAGTTTGAGGAGTTGTGTGGAATGACCTAAATAAGTGCACTTTTTGTCTTTCTACGAAAAGATGTGCAGAAAAATAGAGAGGTGATGTGATGAAAAAAAGAT